CAGCTGCTAGCCCTGGACTCGCCTTCTTGCTGTCACCTCGCGTTCTTGGCCTGGCGGGTTTCCTTGACCACCTTTCCCTGCCTTTGGCGGTCAACCCCACTGTCTTCTAAGACTGTCGGTCCTGCCGGCTTCCCGCTGTCTGCTCTGAGCGTGCGCTCAACGGCGCTCTCCCTTCGGTTCTGCGGGCCTCGCTGACCCGGCCCCCGCCCACAGCCCTCTGACAGGTGGCTCGGCATCTATCTTCCCTGCTGCACCAGGGGGCGGGACTGACTCCACCCTCGGGGTCCCAAATGAGTAACTCCAGTATGAGAAGGGTTAAAGCGGGGAGGAAAGAGTAATCCTTCATTTTCTTGCATGGAAAGTTCAAAATGCCGAGAGGCTAATTCTCTTCCCCAGAGCTCAGTGTTTTCTTAAACCCAGGCTACAGGTTTGGGATAGAGGTGAAGATGGGCGTAGTGAAAAGAAAGGCCGCGAATCCTAGGTTAAGTCTTCCGAGTGGAAAACGCCAAAGGACGAGCGGTGGACACAAGACTGGCTATTTTCCAGTTTCATTTTTGAAAAACAAGCTAGTGACAATTTTACAGTGGTATGTAAAATGTGTTCTAACTTCTCTACTGATCTTTTTTATTTTCAAAGATTTGCTTCATTTTTTAAATTACGTGTATGGTGTCCGGCTTTATGTATACAGGAGTGCAGGTGCCCACAGGGGCCAGAGGGGACATTAGATACCGTGGAGCTGGAATTACAGGTGCATGTGAGCTGCTAGAAGTGGGCGCTGAGAATCCACTAGGGTCCTCTAGAAGGGTGCTATGTGCTCTTAACTGCTGCCCCATCTCCCCTGCTCTCTACAGAGGTTTACAACACAAAACACTAGGCATGATTACAGTAATTGTTAACATATTACAGAGAGAAAGTTGAGAGATGGGGAGGGAGGGAAAACATCTTGCCCGGTGTCACATAGTTACTAATTGTGGGGCTAGGTTCTCTTAGTCATTTAGTTCTTATACATTAAAACAGATAATGACGATACTAGTATTTTCATTAAATGATAATGTTGACATCTAATATAAAAGTGGAAGTTACGGAGCTGAAAAAATGGCTCAGTGCTAAGAACATGCACTGCTCCACGGGATCTGCTGCCCCCTTCTGGCCTCCAAGGCCACCTGCACTCACGTAAGCATAGACCCTACGTGGACACAAACAACCACATAATAAAATAAAAAAATACGTATTTTTAAATGAAATGGGCTGGGCATGGCGACTCACACCTTTAATCCCAGCAGAAGCAGGCAGATCTCTAAGTTTTGGGCCAACCTGGTCTACAGAATGAGTTCCAGGACAGCCAGGGCTACACTGAGAAACCCTATCTTAAAAACCTAAAATAAAGCCATGTGTGGTGGCACACACCTTTAATTCCAACACTAAGGAGGCAGAGGCAGACAGATCTATGTGAGTTTGAGGCCAGCCTGGTCTACAAAGTGAGTTCCAGGGCAGGCAGGGCTGTTACACAGAGAACCCTTGTCTGGAAGTAGGAAGGAAGGAAGGAAGGAAGGAAAGAAAGAACTAAATAAATAATAAAAGAGGCCAGGAATAGTGATGCATATGTATGCCTTTAATCCTAGCAGTCAGGAGGCAGAGGCAAGTAGCCTGGTCTATATAGTGAGTTCCAGGACAGCCATAACTATGTAGACAGACCCTGTCTCAAAAAAAAAAAAAAAAAAAAAAAAAAAAAAAAAAAAGAAAGAAAGAAAGAAAATGTGAAGAAAAAAAATGAACTCCCTAAATTCATTTATTTATTTGTGGTGCTAAGTTTTGAACCCAGGGCTTCATGCATGCTGGGCAAATACTCTACCACCGAGCTAGTTAAAGTCTCTAGATTTATAACAGGATGATTTAACAAAATGAAACACAAGCAACTCAAGTGGAAATAAACAGACTTATGCTATCTTATTATTATACAGTTCATCCCTGTGTATGTTTTCACAGCAGCTTTAAACATAGCAGTAATAGCTAGGACTCGTTTTTAAAAACCATATTGAATTTTGTTTCTTATTTCACACATAAAATGCATGAACATACTTTATGTCTTAAGGTGTAAAATAATTGTACGCTAATTAATGTTACAGTCAGGCAGTTTAAAGGGATCCTCCTTGCTCTGATGAAATAACATGTCACTGATGTAAAACCAAGGTGGTTCCTGGAGAGTTTATGGCCTCAAGTTTTTGGCAAAGGGTCTGCTGCCTTGTTTACAGCTTGCACTATCTTGCCTTGGCTTTGTAGTGTGGGGCTGTGAGGATCCTTGAGGTATATAGCTTATATAGATAGAAGTCTGACAACTGGGTCCTGAGTGCTCACACTGACCTTGAGTCTTTATTTCCTGAACAGCAACTGCAATAATCTTTAAACACCTGAGTGGAACTGCTCAGAGACTGGCCAGAGGTGTCTAAATTGATTCATTTAGTAACATTTGCTGTTGGCTTATTTGAACATGAAGACACACATTTGAATAAACCACAGCCCTGGCTGACAAAGAGCTTAAAATAAAAAGTCAGACAGAAATATATTAGGGTCTCTTAAGGTGAGTAATAAAAAAATTCACTGTGGGGTACACTCCCATAATCCCTGCACTAATCAAGAGGTGCAGATAGAAGGTTCATCTGAGCCATCTCCATCTACACAGTGAGTTCAAGACCAGCCTGGATTACACGAGGCCCCACTGCAGAACACAACCCTAAAGTATATTTATTTCAGGTAAATGTCTTGGAATAAACCATATTGCAAATGAAAGCCTTAAACTAGATCTGTCTAAAAATAAATGGGGTGTGTGTTGCTGGTGGCATCCAGAATGATCAGCCCAAGAACAAAGAAGATCTGAGTATGTGTGAAAGGACAGAACTGTGAGATAGAATAGGCTGTATGCTCAGCGTCAGAGAGCCGAGTAAGAACCCAGAATTGCTGTGGACTATGACTGTACTAAATGCCAAAGGAATGAAGAGTCATCTTGAGACAATACACTGTCAAAGTTCAAACTTACAGGTCAGACTAATTTAGATCTGAGTCCTGGTTCTCTCCTTGGTGTGTGGATTTGGGCAAGTGGCAACCTTTCCAAGCCTCAGTTTCCTTTTTCATGGAATAAGGGTTAACCAACCTAAGCAATGATGTGAGAACAAACATTATATGTGTAAAGAAAGTCCTGTGGCTCACCGGCAATGCCACCAATCCAGAAAGCTGGCACAGGCAGACTAGGAGTTCAAGGTCAGACTCACCTACAGAGGACACACAGCGGGTAAGGGTAATAAGTTCCCACAATGTGTCGTTACCATCATCACTGTGGCTTCTCTGGTGACCACACAAACAGGAGCTCCAAGGCTTAGTGGGAGAAGCAAGGGGAAGCAACAAGAAAGAACTGAAGCAAGGAAGCATAGTTGGGTTGCCTCTTTCTGATCTTGGTGGTGTTTTAGAACTTGGTTAGAGTTTTAAACCACTGAAGGAATGGCCAGCTTCAAGAGTCCAGGGTGGGGGAAGAGACGGGGGATCAGCGCCCTGATGAATACCTCCTGTTGTAGAACTGTTATAGAGCTGTTGTAGAACTCACAGAGACCCACCTGCCTCTACCTCCCACATGCTGGGGCTGGCTCACACCTTTAATCCTAGTAGATCGGAGGTGAAGGCAGGTGGATCTCTGTGAATTTGACGCCAACCTGTCCTATAAAGTGGGTTCCAGGACAGCCAGGGCTACACAGAGAAGAAACCCTGTCTCTAAAAACATAAGTATACATATATATTCAAGTATAAGTTATAGATGCATGTTATCTATAAAACAGACATTAACTGAGTTGGGCAATGGTGGTGCATTCCTTTAATCCCAGCACTCGGGAGGCAGAGGCAGGCGGATCTCTGTGAGTTTGAGGCCAGCCTGGTCTACAAAGCGAATCCAGGACAGGCTTCAAAGTTGCACAGAGAAACCCTGTCTCAAAAAAAAACAAAACAAAACAAAACAAAAACAAAAACCAAACAACAACAAAACCCAGACATTAACATTGGCACCCTGCATTTAGAAAGGGTGTGTAAGATTAGTAAACTTGTATCCATTTGTGCCTTTTAGTATTTGACCTTTTAAAATAATGAGAATCAATTCACGGGGTGGATAAAAAATAAATGAAAATTAATCTGATTACAAAAGATGAAGAGAGCTTGTGGATACTGCAATTGAAGGCTTTGCACCCTGATGCCTAGCTGAAGCTCCATTCCGGGATTAAGGATTCTGAGTGTGTGGAGTACCCCTACAAGTCCCACAAAGGCAAGGAACTGTTCCCAGGTTCATGGGAACTGCTTTTGTTTTCCCAGGCACACAATCCAAAGCTTGGAAGTTCAACAAGTGCATTGAATAGGAGAAACCTTCCGGAAATGCTGAATTTGCACCAAGTTGTTGAGGCCCGCTGTGTTTCTCTGGATACGCCGCGGGCTCAGTAAGCAAGCGGCACAGGTCGCCGAAGCCTCTGCACAGCCTTTCAATGGCCCTCTCTTCCAGGAGTTGTGGCCCTTCCCAGCCCTGCCTCCCAGCCCCGCCCCTCTCTCTGGACGCATCTCTGGGTCCCATCATCACCCCCCCCCGGGCCCTCCCTCCCAGCCCC